TTGTTTCCAGAGGAAAACAGGGACCGGGGAATGCTTTCGATGGCGGTTCCCCGGGTGATGTTGCCGCGGGTGATGTTGCCGCGGGTGATGTTGCCGCGGGTGATGTTGCCGTGGGTGATACTCTCTGTGTTCTCTATTTCCGAAGGGGGCCGGGGCGACTCCTTTCAGTGGTGCCCAGCGACAGGACAGGGAGCAATGGTCTTAGACGAAAACACAGAGAGTTTCACCTCAACACGGGGAAGAACAACTTCGCACTGAGGGTGGCAGAGCACAGGAACAGCTGCCCAGGCAGGGCATCGGAATCTCCCTCTCTGGTGACATTCCAAACCCACCTGGACTCGTTCCTGTGTCACCTGCTCCAGTTCTGGAATATCGCCAGTGAGGGAGACTCCACACCTTCTCTGGGCAATCCCAATGCTCGGTCGCTGCACAAGAAAGAGTTTCTTCCACATGTTCGAGTGGAATTTCCTGGGCATCAGTTTCTGCCCATTGCCTCTTGTCCCATTGCTGGGCACCCCCGAACAGAGCCTGGTCCATCCTCTGACCCCTCCCTTGAAGGGATTGGCAAAAAGCAGGTTTTAATATGGATTTATGAAAGTGTGACTTTAACAGAGTTCAGCAGCAAGGTTCACTCTATTACTACATAGATGAAACATCCACAAGAAAATAGGATCAGAATCCCTTTAGGATGATTTACATGGAGACGGGATGCAGAAGGGTCAGGTGTGCAAAGGATTTGGACACAAAAGATACGGGTGCAAAAGGTGTTACCAACTTCAACAGCAGGAAGGTGAGGCCATAAGATCCATGATGCCTCCATATAGGCTTGGGATATTATCCCAGTTTATAACTCCTTATGGATTTCAAAGGTAAATGTTAGAGCTACCAGAGGTTCCAACCTCTGCCGGTCCTGACCATGGAATCTGTAGTAGTCATGGCAGGATACAAAGGAAATACAAAGGAAACTTAACAATACACAAATTTTGATTTTTGTTTGTTTGTTTGTTTAAGTCAGCTTCCCACTTGTCATACACTGAGTTTCACCACCATTTAAGCTGAACACAGGAAATTATAGGATTTTTTCTGCTTTTCCAATTGAAATGACATTTTCACTGGCACTTTTGAAGGTGGAGCAATATGTAAATAGCAGAGAGGTGCTTTGTTTCTTTCTCCAGTAAAAGTAGAACCTAAAGAGGAAGCAAATTGAAGTGGCCTCAAAATGCACTACAATAACCTCTAGGGCATTTTTAATGAAATAATATGATCAAATCCCTGATTCTCTATGGTTTTTTTGTGCATTAACCTTGGACATGGCTGCTGCTGTTGCATTCATTCATAAATTATAAAGGAGAGGAAGTGAAGTTCTTTAACCTGATAAATATTATGGGCAAAATAATCATTTCAGGTTGGACAGCTGGCTGGAAACACATGCTGTCATACTCTGCATGGTCAAGAAAATAAATTAAGTCTAGTCAGGCTACAATTCAAGGGTAGAAAACTCAGACTGAGTTGTTAAATACTGTCACCTCTTGTACCTCATCTTTCCGTCTCCTTTTCTTGTTCACAGTCTGACATTTGGTTCTACACTGGAGCCAAAGTGAGGCTTTTCCAGCCATATAAAAAAGATAACCCAAACCAGAACTGCTGCTCTTCGTGTTGTTCCCTAAAATACTTCAGGAATTTTGTTTGCATGTATTGGTTTCTCACCTTTTAGAAGATCAGAGGGAAGACAGTTTGGCCAACAGGGTTTTCGTGTTGGGAGTGGGGATGAATTTGGTTTCAGAGTCCAAGGCAGAGAGCACAAATTTTAAATGATTTTGATGTAACTTCTCACATTATGGCATTGAAAAGACAAACATTAAAAACACAGCCATAAGCAAACGAGGCTACTGTGTAGGATGGATTGGGAAACACAAGGAAAGGTTGTCTAAAGCTAAAATTGTGTCTTCCAATGTAATATTCCAGCCCTTTCCAATGTTTAAGTGCTTAGAATGAGGCTCCAGCTTTGCCCCCATAATCTGGGGAGTTTGCAGGCCAGCAGAGTTTTGGAGGCCAGCAGAAAGAAATTTGGGCTTCTCTGTTCCTGTCCACAATATTTGACAGACTCCAAAGAACATACCATTGATCAGTCCACAACTTTCCCCCTAAGAAATTTTTCTCAATGTTTGTAATTTAATGGTATTTTCATTTAGTTTCTCATTTCTCTTCATCCTACAGCTGTGCTGAGTCCAGATCCTGCTTTTTACTTTGCCTTTCAGTCATAAAATCTTCCATCATCACATGCCTTGGTACAACATGCAAATGCACTGGCCCCCAGAGCATCCTCTCCATTAATAAATAGGATATTTCCCTGCTGCCATGGGCTGGAAGGTGGAATGGAGTCAGGATTCCTTCAATATGGCTTTCTCTTTAAAAAAGAAATACATTGTAAAGAATTCCATCAAACTGTTACAGCTTTCACTGCCCCTTGGCCAGAATTTCATAGGCTTTTTTAATTTTAATGTTACCTGTTCCTTTGGCATTTTTAAGACAGAACGTTCTCTTCTCCTTTTTGAAATGGAGATGGTTGTAAAACAGTTTTCATATCAGACCCTTACCTGAGCTACATATCAAAGATGTGCTTCCATTCCTATTGTCTTTAATTTACAGCAGCATAAATTTAAAAAGGGTATGTTTGGAATGAGGTCATCTTAATTCCTTACAAGGCAAAACGTTCTTTTCCAAGATGAAAACTGAACCAAGTTCTTGAAATGTATATTGCAAATCCTGTTTAATTCAATATAATATATACATTTCTTGGGGACTGTTCTTACACAGATTTTTTTGTTTCTTGTTGTTTTATATTGTGGTTTAGACCAAGATTTAGGAACGTGCTTAAAAACTTTCAGTTGTCTGTGGGAAAAATAGTCTTAATTTATGTTGACCTTTCTTTCCTTGGAGCATTTAGCCTGCATTCAATAAAATTTTGATGACTGCTCTTTAGCAGACAGCTGTACCATATAAAGTATTATAAATATTCAGCTTTCCCCTTCCAGTGTTGCCATTAACAGCTGGGCATCCAGTTCAGCAGAGCAGATTTTGCAGAGAGAGCTTGGCATGTTCCTGAATCAGGAGAAGGAAGAAGGGAAGCAAATAGTTTCTTATGGTTTGGGGACCTGTAAAGACATAGAGCATCTGTTCCCCTGTTAAGTCATAGTCTGGCAGCACTGAATCATGTTAAGAGCTAAAATGATGGGAAAAACTACTTTTTTCTCCTTGGCTGTACCTGTATTTTAAATGGCTTTATGCATTGTTTCAACTAATGGCAAAATCCTTTCAACCCTTGCTCACAAGGTATGTAAAAGAAAAGGCTTTTTGGTGTTTATATCTTGGGGGAAAAGCAAATATTCAGTGTGATTTCGCTTCAGTGTCTTGATTTTTATCTATATTATAAAATGGAGAATCAGGTTTTCTTATGCAAACACTTTATCCTTCTAAACAAACAATGTTCTTGGTACACAGTATTTTAATCAGTTAATAGATTTGCTTTGGATGACATTTGTTTTCCTGTGTAAATGTAAAACACGACAAAGGAAACTATCTTTAAAAATATCAATTATAGATGTTTCTAAAAGAAATCTTTGTGTCTAGATACCATAAAACTTGTCCATATTTTTCTCTTGCAGAGTTAAGAGAGCATTAAAGTTGGACACTGTCAAAAAAGATAATGTAAGTATTTTTTGGTGTATGGAACCATCTGTTTATATGTGTATATCTGTCTATCTATTTATATGTGTGTGTTTCTATAGATGTATATATATATTTATATGTGTATGTATCTGCGTGCAAAAATTATGTGTGTATAAACGTGCTGTTTCATTAGAGCTGCATTTATATTGTTACAGATTGGCTGTTGTCTGGGAGAATCCTAAGGCACAAAATTACTGCTGACAAATATTACAGTATAAAATTGATAGTATTTCATTTGTCACAGAACTGCCTGGTGTTAAGTAATGTACCTCTGCATGAATCACTTGAAAAATATGCACATTGTTATTGCCATCACTATTTACCCAAGAGCTGAATGAGTTAAGATCCTTGGTGAAATAATTTATTAAAAATTAGCTCCATTATCCTGGGGAGCAAATGCTCTGCCCTGTAATTGTACATGGAACAATATGGAATTATGGCAATGCTGGAATCTGCATATTACAAACTGCAAAATTGAAATGAAAACATCAAAGGCATTTTCATGTCAGAGCTGTAATTACCTCCCTCAGCTAATCTGGCAGAATGAAACAATAAAGTACAAACACTGCCATAAATTTCACCCCAGTTATCACAATGAAAATAAAATTGTACTGGTGCTATTATTTTTTGTAAATGCAGCTCCAGCGTTCTCCCAGTCCCAGCATGGTGGGACATATGTGGGTTTATTGTCTCTCCTACCACGGGGGGTGTTGCTGTAGAGGATTTTGGGAGGATGGCAGGCTTTAAAGGAAGGAAAATTTGGGAAAAGTACAGGGGGAAATAACTGATCAGCAAATGAGCCCCCAGGAAATCTCCATCTCTGTGCCATTGTGAAGAGATCTGCTCCTATGCAGCACATCTTTGGAGGCCTCACTGGTGTTTAGCAAGGCAGAAATTCAGAATTTAAAAAATTTTACTAGATATTTTTTTATAAATTTAAACAAAGGTGGCAAAATACCGCAGTGGCACTAAAAAAAAATCATTAGCAATTTAATTAGCAGCTTAGTGTACCATTACCCAACTTGTTCTGCTCACAGTGCAGCTGTGAGTGTCATTTTGCATCTGTTTCTTAGGCTGTGGTAACATTTTTGTAGGTGAGTGGTCCAGCTGAAATTCCCTGGAATTCTTTTTCTGCCTTAAAGCAGATGAGCTAAAAGGAGTTATTGGATGGTTACCTGCATTCAGGTTTTGTGTAGCAAAAAGCTTCACAAAAGCCCATCTGAGTGATCAAAACTTTCAGTGGGAGCTCAGTGCTGTGGGTTTACACTGATTTTTAGTTCATGCGGTGCCTCTAATGACATGTCAGAGATTTAAAGTGTACCATAATTAAATAACTTCTTAGAAGGTAGGAAGGAACATAGAGTTGTAAACACACATTATTTGATTGAAGTATCTGTTTCGTCTTTGCTGTTTCTACAGTTCATTCCCTATTTTTCAGCAGTCTGTCATTCCACCTCCTGCTTAAAATACCTATGAACTAAAGATCAAAAATCAGTATTTTTAGATTTTGGAATGTTTGCATGATATCATTAAAAAATTGCATAACTGGAGGAGAAATTCTTACTGCCAAATAAATACTGTCCTTGTAAGTACAACAGTAACTTCCTCCAGGTAGTTGCTCAGATGTGGATATGCTTATCCATATCCAGAGGTGGCTGCTGCTCAAGCAGGAAAAATATCCTGAAACCGTGAGCAGATTGGAGATTTGCTGACATGTAAGTGCCTAAATTGGCATTGATATTTAGATTAATATTTCAGTTAAAGATCATTTGAAACATTTCTTCAACCTGCTTGGATGTGGCAAAACAGTCGCAACAGACTGAGCGTTTCCATCAGGTGTTGTGTCAGTACTGATAGACAAGAGCATAGATGGCTGATGTGAAATTATTTAGAGTGTTTGAGACTAAAACAAGACAGAGGTGAGTGGGCAGCAAACTAAACATTTCAAAATGTGGTGTAAGTCATATTACTAATGACCAATACCAGCACTGCTGGTATGATTTCACATATTGAAATCCTAAGCCAGACACAAAATTTGGGGTTTAAGGAACTTACTTGGGATTTTTTAAATTAACATTTGTATAGATAATCATTAGAAATAACTATCTTTTGATGCAATTAAAATCTAAAAATAGTTGCTTATAGTTCTTATGTGTCTTAAATTCTTAATACTGTAGGAAAAATAATATCAGGTTTAGGCTGCTTTAGAAAACCCAAACCAACCAACCAGGTGATACCTAAATCTCTGGAAAACACAGTCTTTTTCTTTATGGAAAAAGGAGCTTTTATTTTTTTAGAGTAAAACTAATATTAATGAGGAGGGGGAGTGATAGAGCAACCCACCACAACATACAACATGGGCTTCCAATTTATGGGAGTACATAAAGTTAGGAATTACTGAGGAGAAGCTCTTACCAGATGGTAAATGTTCAGAGAGATTTTATCAATGTTAATCTCGATATTTTTGTATTTTGCTGCATTTCAGCCATCTGATGCAACACCTCAGAAGGTCAGAAAGAAAAATCTGAATTCTTACTCCCCAACAACAGGAACACGCCAGATGAGTCCCTTTTCTTCCCCTGTGAGCCACAAGGAACAAAATCCCAGGAACCCCCCAGCAAAAGGTTAGTTGAACATTCCCTCTTTCTTAATACAATATTTTCCTGATTATTGGCTTGACCTAGGAACTTGTCTCTCGTGTGCTATGTTTGTTTCCTTTTTCACCTTAAAAATTTTTAATGTCTTTTGGAAAAGCTGATGTTGACTTTTAAAGCTTTTAAATCTTTTCAGTCTAAATCTTGGGAGTGTTTATGAAACAACTTGTTTATGAGGCAAGTTTTGCTTTCTGTTGCTCAGTATTAAAAATGTTTGGCTTTGACTCAGTAAAAAACTTCCACACTGGCATTTTTGTCAATAATTCCATTAATTCCCCTGGTTTGGCATGTTAGCAAAGTCCTTTTTTATTTTGTGTATTTTTTATTTTTCATGGTAAGGCACTTCAAGGCAATTTTTAATGAACATAATACTGAATGTCATTAGCTTTCAGAAAATATATAATTATTTTTATAATTATATTATTTCCAGTTCCCTTTAGGATTTACACCCCCTTAGTTCCACGGTCACAGTTTCTGGTGCAAGGTCCGAGTGCTCAAGAAGTGGATTTTCAGTGGCCTGACGTGCTTTGATGGCTCTGTAGGTTGTGGGGGTGATCTCTTTAAGTGTCAGGGAGCCACAGGGAAGAAGTGATTGTGTGTCTCAACCAGTCATGGAAACCTCATTTATTGAAAGAACAGCCTTGCTTCCACAAAACTGAAGATTTATCAGCTGATATGTGTTTTATTTTTGTGGCCTTTTAGGAACTGTGTTGGGATTTGCAATGCCAGGCCTGCATTATGTACTTCCAGGTCTGGGATGGAGGCAGTAATCCTCTGTCTTTGTCACAGGGCCTACCCTGTCTTGTGAGCAATTCCTCCTCTCAAACTGAGTGGCTTCTTCTTGATTCCTGAAAAGATGGTTATTTGGCATGGAGGGCATAACCATGCTCCCACTTCCTTCACATCCCAAAATCTTCAAGAGACATTTAATCAGCCCTTTAGGTACTGACTCCTGCCATCTTAAAAGACTCTAAACAGTTTCTCTTTGGGATTATTTTCCTCTTCAACAAAGTTGCATTAAAGCTGTGTCTTAAATGTTTCCACAAATACTCCTGGTTATGTGTTGCATTTTTTTCTTGGAATCCAAACCCACTGGTTTCCAACTTTCTTCTTGCTGTGAAAAGTAACTGTTCCAGTGAGCAGCTTCCTGACTCTGTTTATTAGGGAACTTATGTCCTTGGCATCTAAATTTATCTACTCTGTTTTCCTACAGAGAGAAAGGTATTTTCAAATATTTCCCAGGTCAGATTTCTCTGTCAGTCTCTGCTTTTATCAGCAGAAAGGAAATTTTGTGTTTGAATGCTTTAACTTCTATATCAAGATTTGGTAGTCCTTGGTGGTAAATATGAATCTCTTCACCCTGTACAAAGAAACCTTTCCACCAGAAGAGTTGCCAGTAGTTGTTCTCCTTACCTTTGCAAAAGCTTTTAAAATTGTATATAATGATAGCAGTTAAAATTAAAAATCTGTAGCTCTCTAGGTATGTTCTCTTGACTATCCTTATTACCTGCTTTAATGAACTGGTAATTTTCATGAGGACACACAAATGTTTAAATTACTACAACTTTTCAAACTTTCCCAGCCTCTCTGCACTTGAATTAGAGAATGCCTTATCTCTCAGGTGAAAGTAGGATGGGGGCAAAATGTCTTGAATTAAAATGTATATTAGGATGTCAGTGGGAAAGGTGAACGTGTATTTCCAGCCTGATATTAAGGATGGACATAGGGGAACATTCCTTTTGCCTATAAAAAGCCTGATCACATGAGCAGAGCTGACATTTAGATGGATAATTACTCAGTAATGTAGCACTAACCAGCTCTTTTTTTCCTGTGTTCATATAGGTACAAAATGGTGTTATACAATTATTAAATCACAGGTTTCAGGGTGTCCTTTTAAACCCACAATCTCTGTTCTCCTTCTGAAAAAAACACTTTTATTTTAAGAGCTGTGGTGCTTTAATAGGTTCTGGATATCACCTTTGAGGTATTACACTTTAATCAATATTCTGTTTTTCTGTGACCAATATGTAAAAAACAACAGAACAAAAATTACTACAAAATCAAGTTCAAGTTCTATTGACTACTTAGATTTAAAATTGAATCTTTGTGGGTCTTAACCTTCAGCTGCTGTATTGGAACAGCTTAAACTTGTATAGCACTTTGTCATTCTGAGATATTTCTAAGTGTTTTACAAAATAAAAATTAAAAGTTGATTCATCCTTGAGTGCTGATACTTGTGTGTAATAATTCAAATTTAATAAGAAATCAAAGTGTTTAATGCTTAGCCTGGCCTCCCTTTTTTAGTCTGATGTCAGGAAGATTTATTACAGAGAGATGTGAAAAGCACCTCACTCCAAATGGTGGGATCTGGGATTGCCAGAATTATCCCAACTTCCAGTTATTAATACTCTAATCCCAGGGTTTCCAGGAATATAAATGTAAAGTGAGTTGATGAGAGCTCAGATTACAGAAGTGTAAATTGTAGTGAATTTAGTGTGGTTCATTCCAGGGGATCTGTCCTGCTTTCCAAGTGAGTGTGGGGGTTTTTTCCCTCTTCCTAAAAGATCATTCTAAAATCAAGATTCATAGTAACACCTACTTCACATGCTTCAAATAGAAAATATCTTATTTTTATCTTTATTGTTTCTTTTCTTCCTTGTGAACTCCGAGGAGGTGGGAGAGAGCAGAGCAATTCCCACACTGGATTATCCAGGAGAGGGCAGCCTCCAACAGAGCAGGATGGGTGAGTGCATCAGATGTGTTCACTTTGTCATGGGGGCAGTGATTTTTATTTCATATTTCACACAGAATTCAATTAATAGCCATTATTTTTAGTGCTTCTGATTGCACAGGATTAGATATTCAAAGGCACTGAATGGTTATAGGTGTAAATTAATGCAAAATCTTTTACAATTCTCATCTTTTCTGCCACAATCTAATTTTAAGGTATAAATTTCTTGACATTAATGAACTTGGGGCAATCCCCAGTTAGTAAAGCACTTAAATAAATGTTTCAGGTGAGGTGTCTGATGGGCTGTTTTCCTAGATAGGCATTATTGAACTAAATGTCGTGTTTGAAGTTGTAGCTCTTCCTTTTGAGCTCTCAATTTATCTGTTGGGCTTTTTCCTTGTCATGGATGTTTCCCCCACCATGAGCTTGAAATTCCTTCATTGTAGGAGGGTGTTTTCTGAGTGATGGAGTTCGACAGAATTGTTTGGGTGACATGTTACATGGTGAAAAATAAAATATTAAAATTTTACCAGTGGCAAACTAAACTGACTAAAGGGCTTTTCTGGTGGTTCAGCAATTCCCTTGGGCAACTCATTTCTTGGTGGCAGAACCCTGAACTACAGAACAATTGGAGTAATCAGAGCCTTCATTAACATGTAAATGTTTGCCTTCAGTAATTCAGTATATCTTTAAAAGCTTTGCAGAAGACCAGCAGTTACTGACCTGCACTAAAAACATTTATAAACCAACACCTACACTTGATATTTATGTGAACTTCCAGACACTTGAGTTTTACAGGTGGAAAATATATAGTCCAATACACTGCTATTATTGTTTTCTTTTCCCATATGGACATTTCCATACTGTAGCTCTGTTCCTAAATTTGAGGGTTTTATGAGGATAATTCTCCCTTCTGTGAGAGGAAACAGTAAATAGATTATTTGATTTGCATCTTTAAATGGTTCAAAGAGAAAATACCCTAAACTATCATGGCAGGAATTTTTTTAATGTGCAAATCCTGAAGAAAATCCTCTGATACTGCTGAACCTGAGTTCCTATCCTTAAAATTAGGATATAGGGATTTTTGGTGGTTGGGATATGAATCCCAACCAAAGGCAGGTTGGTTTTGGTGTTACAGGTCACTGAGCTGCATCCAACCTGATTCCATTGGGAAGAAACTCTGGGAAACATTGCAAACATGGAATTTCAGTGAGTGGTGATTAGAGTAATTGGAATTGTTTTACTTTTTCTGGACCCAGGTTCCTGAAACTGCAGTCCCAAGTGAGAAGTTCATTGGCCAGAATTCTGAAAATAAGAGCAAATCTCACGAGCCTTCAGGTCTGCTTTACACTGATTTATCTTTAATCTGCTTTTAATACAGGATTTGAAATCAAAATTAAAATTTTATATGCAGCATTTAAATTTTAGGGAAGCAAATAATAGACTTGAAGCCAGGCAAGTTTGACTTGGAAATCCAGAAAATGCAAAAAACCTCAGAACTTAGAAAAATTTTTTAAACTAGAAGAATTGCTTTTCCAAGTCCACCATTTTTAATTTGTATCACTCCTCCTTTTGTTCACAAATAAAAACATAGGTAGTTCTCAACTGTTATTTATAACTTGAAATATGAATTATTACAACATAGATTTTTGTCTCCTTAAAAATGAAATATCCCTTTTTGATGAAGTGATGGTACTATTTAATTTACCACTAATATGTCATCATTTAATAGTTTGTTTAATGCATGTTAAAATGCAAATCACTCTTCTATTTTATTCCCATTTGGTTTCATTTTTAATAAATGTAGCAGAAGGTTCATTGCTCTATATCAATAGCTGGGAAATAATTCAGTGTACTCAGAGTACTGTAGTGATTTATATGATCTGACAAGGTTTTATTTACTAAAAAAAAGGCTTACATTAATTTAAAGTATTAATTCATTTGTTAGAATTTATTTGAAATATTTTAATTGAAATGTTTATTTGTGAGCAATTTCCAAAAGTTCGTTCTTTCAGGTGTTTCTGATAAGTTGTAGACGACTAGTAGATAGTTTGGGAATGGGATTTACCAGTGTCTTAAATTGTTGTTTTCCAGGCTTTGGAGGGCAGCAGAGAGCTGGAAAATATCCTCGGTGTCTCAGACTCCTCTCGTGCCCTGAGTGCTGAAGTGCAGAAAACCCAAACACTGCGTAAGGAGGGTTTCCAATCTGTTTATCCCCTTTCTAACCACTGAACAAGGATCACTCCAGATGGTTCCCGGTGTTATAATGGAGTGTCACAGCCCGGGATTCTGTTTTGGTCAAGAAAAATGCTTTAAATCTCCTCGTGCATCCAACAGGGACATAAAAGACAGGCAGCCCCGTGTCCTGCTTTTCCAACTGAATGGGGAGGGAAAACTTGGAAAAGCAACACCTTTTCTCATGTAAATAGTTAGATACTTAGTGGGTACTTAGCTGGGAATTAGGATAAACGTTTGCACTTGGATTGCTTTGCTTGTCTTCTCTTCTTCCGAGGAAATTGGTTTGTTTGTTTGCCTGGCTGGAGGATTAGGCTGACTGTAGCTTTCCAGGCTTTAAAAATCGCTATTCATGTGTCTTTAAATGATGGACATTCCAGATGCTTATTGTGTTGGGATAAGGGCGCTTCCCAGATGGCACATCTGTAATACTTTGCCAAAGGAACCCGAAAAGCTGAAGTTTTTTCACTTATATGTGTCCGTTTTTAGGAAACTCTTTATCCTTCCTCCAAGTCAGAGGTTCTGAAGTTCATTCCTCCTGCTCTTCCCAACCAGAAGGGGAGGATGTGATGGGGAAATAGTCTAATGAAAAAAAAAACCAGTGTGGATATTTACAGGAGAAGACCAGAGATATTGGCTTCCAGGGATAAGAAATCAGGGTCACCTTTTCCAGGTCATTTACATTGTTCTTGGAGACTTCTCATGCCAGCCTCCAGCTGAGCAGGGAATATGAGCAATACCTGGATACAGCCAGTCCCTGTGTCCACTCTCCAGACAAACGTGGAAAGGTGATAAAATAGTTTCTTAACCTGCACCAGAAGTGCCAACAGACATCATTGTATAACCTGCCTCGTTGCTCTGTTTTCTGCCAAGTGTAAAAACACTGGAACCAGCTATAGGGAAGCAAGACCTGGAACTGCTCTGTTTGCAGTTGGAAGCAGGTGGACAGTAAAGCCAACAGGTGCTAGTGAATTCTTCTTCCCAGAGCATTGGAATTTATGCACACAATTCCAGCAGCTGCTGTTGTTTAAATTACCATTTCTTTCCTGAGGTGTATTCCAAACCTTTTCCTTTTGCATGTGTATACACTGCACTGTTCCCTCTGTAATGGCAGAGCCTTTCTTATACAGAAGGAAATCCCTGGAAACAGTCTGTGTTCCCTTCCCTGCTCTGGATAGGACAGTCCAACAGCCCAGAGGAAAGATCAGACCTACTGCTGACATTCTCTGTCTCGTCCACTCTTTCTGTCAGCTCCTTGGGAAGGAATCCTCTTTTCCCCATCTCTGAATTAGGAACAAAGCACAGGAAAAAATGGCAACAAAATGTGGTATGAGGCTGAAAGCACCACTTGTCAAAATGATCTGAATTTTGAAAACTTTTTGTTAATTTTTTAAAGCACAATTACATAGGTAAGGGCTTTTTTCCTTGAAATGCATTGAAAGTGAAGAGGGCAGCAGAGGGATCATTTCCTTTGAAATCTCTGATTTGGGATTTATTTCTTCACTAGTGAGTCAAGCAGAAGAGCTGCAGCTGTTGGAAGCAAACCATAGAAAACTCCCTGCCCCAGGTGAGAAAGTGTGTAACTCCCATGTAACTTGTGTTTTGATTCCTTTTGGTTGATTCCTTCTTAGTTCTTTCCACTTGCAATAAGTTGGGTAACATGGAGTTATAAAAAATTATGAGAATCAAATGTGTTTCCTCTGAAAACTTCCACTACACAAATTTAGTATTTTCTGCTCTTTTCATTGTATTGGGTGTTTCTCCATGAAGTTGGTGGCATTTAATACCAGGTGGCCACTTTGGAGCCTTGGCAGGAAGGAGGGGACACACACAGGATTGGGGTTTTCTTTCACACACGGTAAAATCAACAACTTCCCCACTGATATTCTGATATTTCTGTTCTCTTCACACATTCTGTCTGAAAATACAGCAAAACCAGAATTTAAAGCAGTGATGGCATCTCTGCTGCTTCTTTTGTTTGGATCTGCTCAGGCCTAAATTCCCTCTGCTGTGGGGAATTCTCTTAAAGGAAAGAAAACTGCTTAAACTTAGGTTTCCTGGGCTCCAGCAGATTATCTCCAAATGTAAAGGAGTGACAACCCTTTGGAAGGAATTTGGCTCATTTGTGCAGTCTGCTCTTTCTGATTTACAGCTCCCTGTGTCCTCCTGTTCCAATGATCCCGGTGATGGGAATGCCGTGGGCCAGTGCAGATTTAAACACTCGCTGCCTCCTTTGTGCCCTGCTCTTTAATACACATTTTTAGTTCCATCTTTGCTCTGAAAACCAGTCTCTAACACCAAACACACACCCAGTCTTGTTAGAGGAGAAATATTTTATGAAAGTGGGGTGGAAAATAGAATTCTGAGTTTAAGTTGACCAATTTTGATGTAGTTTCACTGTCAGTTTTGTTTTAACAAAGAATAAATTCAATTTTGCAAGCTTGAAAATGCAGTTGTAGGAGAGGCAGAGAAGTGTGTGATCAAAGGAAAGCATTTGGAGATGTTTTCCTTTGCCTTTTAGTTTTGGATGTGGTTTTTTCAGAATTATTTTTAATTAGTTATGGCAAGGCTGAGAACTTATGACTGTTCAGTGGGTTGGTACCCAGGGAATGTCACATTATCATCACATGGTGAGGCATGAAATTTATTTACTTTACATAAACAACCTCCTCTTAAAACAACTCCATCCAGAACATTCCTGGCTCAATGGGCAGCCTTGTGTGGAGCTCAGTTTATCATTTTGGGTGACCAGCAGGAAAAAAGGGCAGCATTGTCTGGCCATGACTGGAATTTACAGTAAACAAAATGTTTTGGAATAGAAAGTAAGCAAATGGTAAAACAACTGCCAAGAGATGAAATGGAGTCGGTGTGTCCCAGTCCCAACCACGCCCTGTGTATGCTGGGAATGGCTGTGTAGGTTGGGCTGTGCATATTTTAAAGGAAAGTTTAATAACTTGGGAGATTCCAAGAGTGAAGATAAGATTCCAAACAGGAAAGCTCTTTGGCTGGTTGTTACAAACTACACTAATACTTTGCTTCCCAAAACCAGTGACATAAATCATATCCGTGACTCCATCTGCTGTCCACGTGGGAAACAAGGGACTGTTAGAGCAGATCAGATCCTGCAGTGTTGGGGAAAACTGTTCTCAGGCCACAATGAAATCCAAAATACTTTCTTTCCATGGTGTTGTTCATCCTGCCCAGCTCAGGGGGAAATACAGTCACCCCCCGAGTTTAGTTCTAAACATTCCCAACTTCCGTCTTGGTTTTAGTACAAGGGACTGAGTTTTGCACTCTTGGATCAGTAGTGGTGGCTTTCCAAGAGACTGGGTCAGGATCAACTGGACAGGTTTTCATTTAATGCCACTTGGAGTCACTAATGAAAGCAAAGCTGGAGAGATCAGGGATGAAGTAAAGCTGAACTCCCGTTCACCAATCCAGTTTTTTGAAGACTGGATAGATGGCAAAACAGAAATTCCATGGCAGAACTGCAACATACAGAAGCCTCCTTAATAAGCAGAGTTCCTTCTCCAGCCAGATAAAAAGGTAAAAATACAATATTCCACTATTTATCCCAATTCATGTCAGTTTGAGTTTGGACTTTGGGTATCCTAGGACTAAACCCCTTGAGTCTGCTCTGCTGGTGGGTTGAAGGCAGTGAGGGTAAGTCACATTTACAATTTATTTTTTACATCATTCTCACATAAAGTAAAACTAATTTGTTGCTCTTCAGACATACTTGGGGTCTGTCCCACCTATCCTTCCTCCTCCTCCTTTGAGATCTCCTGGGAAAAGGGGAATACATCAGACTGCAGAGGTGAATTTTTCTGACTGTGAAACCTTAACTTAAAAAACATGGTTATTTTTCTCAGCCCAACTTTGGACTCACTTGCAGGGAAGAAATGTCGTTATCCCTTTGCTGGGAAAAGTGAGTCTTGGGAACTTAAGTGAACTGAGTAGGTTCACAACTAAATTGATTCAGAAACTTGAGCTGCTTTCTAGTGTTCAAATTGTGATTCAGATGCACAACAGCTCTAGAAGGAACAAAAATGATGCTGAAGGACTTGTTTTCAAGCAGATTATTCGATGGAGACTTAGAGTTGTGTTTGCAAACATTGTTACTCAATGCTTAGGCCAGGTGTGGTATTTTGCCTCTCATCCCAAATGTCTGCCCTGAGTTCACGTCCCTGATGGTGCCATCGGTTCTCCTGACTTGTAATCCAGCCAGGAGATGAGTTGTCCTCTTGGCCTGGTCAGAAAGGTTCTGAAACTAAAATAGGAGTTGAATTAAAAAGTAATATTTTCTGAAAAAACACACTCTAAAGCTTGATGTTCAACTGAGTTCAGCGAGCCCAGCCCCAGCCAGGCTGTGTAGGCAGAGATTAGGGAGAGGCTCAGCACACATTCCAACTGGGAGATGATTCCTTGGAGCTGAAACCCTGTGAGTGTTGTGTCCTGTGTCTCTGGGACTCAGCTCCAAGAAATCAGAGCTTTGTGGTGCTGGAGGGACGTGGCCTCGTTCAGCTGCTCTTCCCTGGGGAAGGATATCCGAGTTTGTGCTCCTGAGGCTTTTCCACCATCAACACAGGGCAAAGTTCTCTCAGTTCCTCACAAGTGTGGGATTGCCCCCAGAGGAGTGGCTGCTTTGTATCCTGGGGATGAGAAACTGTTGTTGCTCAGGCTGAATTTGGCTGCACCCGTGCCTTGGTCTGTGCAGGTGGGTCTGGTTTAGTCTGGGACCAAGCAAGTCCCTCCCAGTCTAGAAAGGTAACAAAACCCACTCACCCAGTATCCAAAATCTGCAGTGGCAGCTCTTTTCCTAAGACAAGGAGGAGTCTTGTCCTGACAGAGGAGCTGGGGTGAGGTTTCCACTGCTCCTTCCCAGCAGGATTGGAAGCTGTTGGGTGCCCCCACTCCATAACAGTCCGTAGAGTTCAGCCCGAGGTTTGAGGAGTCTCTCTGGGTGTGAGGAGGAGCTCTGGACTGGAAGGAAGGAGCAGGTTCCAAAGCTGCAGTGATGGAACACCCTGTACTATGCAGATAAAATATTAAGCCATTACCTGCTGTGGCAGATCCAGAAATGCACGTGAGACATATGAGTGTGGGCACATCCAGAACTGTCGCCCTGCATTTCAGATTTGGGTGGCAGCCCCATTTATTCAGAGATTTCCACTCATATTTACTCTCTATTTTCCTATTTACCTTCTTAGAGACACAACAGCTATTAATTTTTAATTCTAGTGGATCTAGTTGAGAGTATTAAGCTTAATGAAAAATTCAGAAGAATTGTAGTTCTTCCAACAGCTACATGTAGCAACTCCTACACGACAATAAATACTGCTTTGTCCCATGAATATAATTATTTTAAATAAAAAAGAAAAGAAACATTAGTTTGGACTCACTTAGTAGCAATTATATGTTTAAGAGGTGTAAATAACTTGCCATCCAGACATTACAAATATCCAGGTGCTCTGTATGTGCTGATGACAACAAAATTGAAAAGAAAGACTGTAATAATTCTGACTGGTTTTCTCTGCAGAAGATATTGATTATTTGTGTGTGGTGAGAGATTTGGAAAATTCAATTAAAGGAGTTGTGCAAAGGTTTCATAAATTTCCCGGGTACAGCGTGTACACAGACATTGCTGCCTATTAAATCAATGCAGCACTTCACAATATATTTTCTTTGAAACATAAAAATAAATAACATTTAAACAGTTCTGCTTACTACAGAAACAAATTTTATTTTCTGTGAAGCATTTAGTCATGTGCTATCACTGACTCATACACATTTGCCAGCTGTAACAAATTTTATAGACGTTTTCTCCAGAGACAGAGCTCATATACTATGAATTTTTAAATGAGCAAATGGTGAAGAAGGGATGTCAGCAATATAAAAATTGATCAGTTAAAAGATAAAAGCATAAGTAAAGAGATTTGTATGGTAGTCTTAATAGGTTTTATTAAATAAAAATACTATAAAAAGACAGTAATGAATAGACTGAAGGTTTTAACTGTGGTTGAGGTGGAGAAAAATTATTCTGGCACATTTAGTAGAAGATTGGTTTTATATCACCCGACAGGTGAACATTTTTTTTCTCTCTGCTTTTTAGATCTGTAAATGTTTTAGAGCAGTCAAACTTGGGGAAGAGTGGCAGGGGAACTAGGAGGGGGAAGGAAACTTGGGAAGATCCAGCCCTTTTAATGCTCTTGTGGGCCAGGAGGTGCCGTGTCCAAGGGCAGTGAGGGCTCTGCCAACCCTCCAGGAACTTGGGTGGGGTGATTCCAGCTCCTGCCTTACCCTGGGAACCCTAAAATTGGAGCTGAGGAGAGGAACAAGCTGGGCCTGCACCAGCCACCTCTTCTGCTGCAGCCCAGGTGCCTTCTGGCCCCTTCCACACGTCCCTTTCCCAGCTGCTCTGCTCACATCCATCCTCATTCAGGAGTTTTGTGAGTGTTCTCTTTGGTTTTATGTAGTTTGACTTACTCAGAAGCTCTGCATAGAAAGATATCAAGAGAGAGGAGGGGTTGGAGGTTTGTCTGTGTTGTTGGGGTTTTTAAGAACAGCTCACTCTGAGGTGAGGCAGAGTTAGATGGGATTTTGGGAAGGAATTCTTCCCTGTGAGGGTGGTGAGGCCCTGGCACAGGTTGCCCAGAGAAGCTGTGGCTGCCCCATCCCTGGACATGTCCAAGGCCAGGTTGGACGGGGCTTGGAGCAACCTGGGATAACAGAAGATGTCCCTGCCCATGGCAGGGGGTGGAACTGGATGGCCTTTGAGGTCCCTTCCAACCCAACCCATTCTGGGATTCTGTGTTTGAAAAAAAAGCTGAGTTCATGATGTTTTATGTGAATCTGGGCAGCTTGTATTTTTTAGGACAGCTCAGTGTGGTGGCTGTGGCGTGTTTGGGTTCTCCACATGCTGCACAGTCCAAATGCTGCAATCCATGGTTGAAGGGAAATCAGTTCCATAAAGACTGAGTTAGGAATTGCATTTAGTACAAGTAAACCAGGTCATAATTCAATCTGTTATTTTTTTCTGTTCCTTGTCATACAAGACTGGACAGTTTCCTGCTGGAAGCAGTTGTGGTGTGGTTTTGTTGATAATTTGTGTGAACAAGTGGTGGTTATCAGGAATAATGCTGGAAGTGGGACCTGAGGCCGAGTTGGATTGGATGCCTTTTTATGGAGTGTGAGACCTGGCTTAGGACAGAGCCTGGGCTTGGTCTGGGTCAGCTGCTGGTGACATTGCCAGCACCTCAAATCTGATCCATGGGCAGGTCTTGGTGTTACATCATGTCCTGGAATTGTGTGGGGAGAACTGAGGAGAACCTTCCCCAGCACCCCGTGGCTGGGGGGGTTTGGTGCCCCTCCCCAGCTGGGTTTCTGTGCACTGTAAGCTGCTCTGAACACCTGTCTGTTCTTCTTGGTGTGTTTTTACAGTTCTGAATTCTCTCCTCACCCTCGGTGGTGGTGGAATCAAAGCTCCTCGTGACACGGGGTCCTGGGGGCAGAGCTGCTCATCTGCTGCAGGACCATTTGGCAGCCTTGGCACTCAGATGCACCTGCTTCCAGACCCTTTCTACGCATGTTCTCATTCCCTGAGTTCCTTTCTGCCCTTGCACTCTTCTCCTCTCCTTCTCCCAGCCACCTGCTCTGCCCTCATCCTGCCCTGCCCTCCTCGGCTGGGGGGCTCAGGTGCGGGGGCCTCCAGGGATGGTTGTTCCTCTCATGGAGTCCTTGGTTGGGTTCTGCTGAATATGGTCCTGATGTATTTTTATTTATTCTTTTATTATTAATAGCAAAAAAGAATCACCAGCTTCTAACACTTGCAGCACGTTCTGTTCTGCTTTGGTAATGTAACACTTGCACATCCACTCACAAGGGCAAGCTCTGAAATTACTGCTGAGACCCCATAACTGAGACTCCAAGGAAAAGGGCTCCTGGGTTTTAACCACTGCAGCAACTTATTTAACTTGTACTGGGGAGGGATTGTCACACATTCTGCCATAACACCCCTGTTTATCACACATCATGTTTATATTTGTTTCCCCTCCTCAGGGTACATCCAGACTGTTGGGAGCACCGAGTTCCTGAACTCACTCCTGGAACAAAGCAAGGAGCCCCTGGGCCTGCTCCCTGCCCTCCCCAGCACCCAGGCACTGGCCCAGAGACCAGGAATGTGACCAGGATACAGGTACTTGTTGTAAAGCATTTCCAGAGGGCTCTGGGATGTCCTGCAGGCACAGCTCAAGAGCCCAAGGGCATCAGTTTGTTCCTCCTTTGGCTCCTTGTCCTTGTGAGGGAAAAGCCCAGGTAGTGACAGACCTTGTCTGTCATCGTGTGTTACCTGAGCAGGAGAAAACTGGTTTCATGAAGTCTAAAGATGAGAATACCCACAGATGATCTCAATTCCTGAACAGTGTGAGAACGTTTCTCTTTGGGAAGCTGAAGTCTAATTCCCATAACTGAGGAGCACGGAAGCGCTGTATGGCCATAGGGCAGGGCTGAGCTCACACACCTGCATTTGGCTCCTCAGTGAAGGTCCCATTTTACTTTGTAATCAGCCCTAAGTAACTGAGTAGCAAAAAGCCTTCTAAACCCTGCTTGGCCACAATCTACCATTACACTACTGCTTCCTGGCTGCTTATGCCAGACTTTTCTACTCCTTCCGAGCCAGTTCCCACTCCCAAGGCAGAGTCCTCGAGGGATGGCATCCCCAGCCCAGGAGAGCAGAGCCAGCATCCTCCTTTTTTCCAGTCAGCATAATTCCTGAGTCCTGCAGATGCAGAGTGGCCTTTCCCTGGTACAGTAACACGTTAAGTCTAACAATGGGTTATCAGCTTGTAGTAAAGTCATGCTGGCAACTCCAAGGTTTCAGTTCACAGCTGGCCCAGGTCTACTGTGAGTTTATGTCCATGGACAGCAGTGTAGTCAGTGAGTATTTGCATAAGGCTTTGCACCTCATGCCCAAAAAATGACAATTTCCTGGTACTTTTTATCCCTTCCATGAGTGACCAGCACTGTAAGGCCGTTTCTTATTGCTTAAAAAAACACAATTGTGGTGGCTAAATGATCTTTTAGCAATCATTCCTCAACTTTTTCTACAGAATGTCCTTAAACCATCCTAAAATGTTCCTGCAGTCCAGGGCAGACCAGCTGCTGCTCTGCATTGTGTGGGGCTGTGTGTGTGTGTTTCTCACACAGTGAGGTTTGTCCTGGACATCAGACAGCCCTGAGCCTCCAGACACATCCCCTGAGTGATGATGCTGTTGTCTAATTGCTATTTATTTTAGCCATTCCTCATCTCCCCCCAGGCATTATGTGAAAAATGCATTCCACATCACCCCAAACTTCTACATCTGCTGGACTGGACTTAAAAGGAGCGAAGAACTGAGTGTAAACCAATCTCCCCCCAATCCCGGTGCGGGAGCGTCGCTGCCCAGGCAGGTGCAGTCACATAACATTCCTGGCGTCCATTTAAACTGAACAATGTGCACAACCACATCATCCCCATGGAAATAATCCACCGTGCTGGGAGCTGGGGCTGCTGCTGCCGCCTGGGAAATCAACTGTAGGTTCTGCAGGTTCTTTTCTAACACGGGGTGGGCTCTAAAGCCAGAGGAAGCTTTGCAGTGCAAGGAATTATTCCGTGTTTCAGCTGTTGAGAAACACTTTTCCTGTTGGTGCTGCCACACTTGGGGATGTTTGTCATCCACAACCAGGTTTCCTCTAAACTCAACCCAAGCCAAGGCCTCAGCTTCAAACCCAGCACTAACACACATGCTCTGGGAACATTTGCTTTTTAGGTCTGGGAACATTTGCTTTTTAGGTCAACATTTTAGTTTAGTTTTGGTATTTAATGATGTAAGAGCAGAGTTGTTTTATATAAACCAGCTGCTTCTCTTTTTTCCACCCCTCCAGCCTAGGGAATCCCCAATATCCCAAATCCTTTCATTAGGTTGGAAGAGTGCAGTACAATGATCTATACTTTCTTAAGTTCAACATAAACACCCACTTGAATGTCCTTTTTACTCCTGCAAAGTCCAGCTCCTCAAATAAACTGATTTTTATGACTAAAACTCTGAGCACTAAAATGATGAACATGTTCCACACGCTCAAGCTTTGGGAGTTTTTAGTTAATAAAAATGTTTTTGCACCTCACTACCTGTGCAGTCCAACTGGGAAAAACATTAGTAACTGGTGGAAGGGAACTGGGACAGTTTTTCTCCCTTCCACACCAGTCTCTGTCAGGCTCTCAGAGCTGTGGGTTGTTGTTCTGTGTGTAAGGGGCACCAGCCCGTTGCTCTGTAGCAGGAGGGGAGGATACTGAACCAGCGAGAGTTTATGTAACCTGACTGTAACCTCTGGAGCTGGAAATTAAATAATTATTGATCTGAGAAGAGCCTGGAACTGACTGTGCTGGTCTAAATCAAGCTGTTATGGGCAGTCTTGGGAGAACATAAAACTTGTACAGGAAATACCAGTGAAGGTGGTGATGGGCAATGAGTTACAGCATAACTTACACCATGGCAATTACTAAATCTGGTATTTAGTCATTTTTTAGGGAAATAAAGCTGTACATGAAGGCTGTGCTGCACATGCCCCGCTCACATGCCTCAGCTATTTAGGCAGTTACTGTGGCTCTGACCTCCTGCTGTACCAGCTCTTGCCTCTGAAACAGCTGGGGCTGTTAAGAACCATTTCCAGTTCCACACAAGGTGGATCGGGTGACTCTCACTTTATCACCCCCCGAGGCCACCTCAAGGACAAAGAAAAGGGATACACTCAAAACTAATGTTTGGCTATGGGGGGAAGGACAGGCCTGGGCTCTTGCTGGACACACAGACCAGGCTCATTAAACCCTGAACTGCTTCTGCTTCCCTCCACCTTCATTTTCCTTGTCACCTTAGAGACCTCCAAGGCTGACAAACTTCAGGCAGCCTTTCCCCCAGCCCTACTGGGGGGGAGCATGGAGGGTTTGGGATTTCACAGCCTCTGGAGACAAAGATTCCTATTTTTGTGTCCTGATACACATCAATGCCACCCAGCCTACACTTCCAAAAAGAAAGGCTGTGCTGTGAGTTGCAGTCACCCCCACAGAAAATTCTGAATACTTGTGAAAATATTGAAGTTTGTTGGTTTGTAAGAATTTGCTGAACTGTGCTCACCCCCCATATCCTCAGAGTAACTCCAGAGCACCGTTTCTACTCTGTTGGAGCTGCCAGGAGCACAGTGTTGGCTCTGGGTACTTTTTCCACAACAAATAAGGCTGGAAAAACTGCATAAATACACTCAGCTCGGAGCCACTCCATTGACAGGGCTCATAACTGACACAGTTGGAAGTTCCCAGAACAGCTGATTCACACACTGACACTAATGGCAGTGACAGGCTGGAATGTGACAGCACAGCCAGGGCAGGGGGAAGCCTCTCAACAAGGATGGGGGGGCTTATTTTTAATATATATACATACATAGATACAGAAGAAAAACATAGACTGATTTCTAATTAAACCATACAACCCTAAATTGCTTTATGATTTATTTTCTTCCTCCATGCTTTGTTATGTTTATAATTACTCAATCAATATGCATTCTCTGAATTATTGGCAGTGGAGGCTGTGCTGCACCCAGGGAGAAATTGCAGAGTTGAGTTCAGTTTACATCTGCAAATTGCTGTGCAAGGAGGGGGGTTGTTGTGGGGTTTGGGGTTTTCTTTCCCCCTCATACCTGGTTTCCAACTGCACAGCAGCACCTCAGCTTTTACTGCAGGAGAACCAAGAGGGTTTGGCTTTTCAGTCCTGTTGAAGAGAGAGCAGTTGAGTCCTAAGACTGCAGAGGTGTTAAAACCACTTAAAGCAGAGCTGCTGACCAACAGTGAAGGAAGAAATGTCACAGTGGAGGAAAGTTTGTGTCACAAAACAATTCAGCAACACCAATTCAGAGCTGCCGGTCCAGCGTTTTGACTTTACCTGCATGACTTCCTTATGCTGGGAAAGGAACAAACTCAATGCTACTTTTGCTAATACAGCAAATACAGGGTATTTTAGCATTAATTCAAAATTTGGTCCTTTATTAGGCATTTTAGGTTTACAAATGGTAACAAAAAGTATGACACCTCTGAAGAAAACACACCAAATCATATTTCCAATGCTCTTCAACAGACTTCTCCTTTGAAACAGTCTGATTGTTTTGTGTTTGAATAAGCCAAACGTGTTTCCTGACTTTCCCTGGGTTCCAGCAGTTGTGTCCATCCCAAACAGGTTCCCCTGCAGCGCTGACAGCACTCACCAAACACACTCTGTCCTGCACAGTTCAGTCCTGGAGCTCCACAGGTAGATTAACTGATTTTCTTCTGGCTTTTGCTATTCTTGGAGTCCCAGAGTATCACAACATTAAAATACACCAGAAATAATAAGAAGTGTAAGCAGGAAACAATGGACACGGATATGGGGAATAAATCCGGGAGGCTCTGGGGAGGAGGCACTGCAGCACTCAGGAGAGACAGCACACCCATCAGGGACAGGGAAAGAAGGAACTGGAAGATAAGGAATGATGGATTAGGTGTTGGTGATGTAACACCTCAAACAGGTGAGCTGTTACTGCATTGTTTGGGTGCTCTGTTACAGCCCCCCCTCCACTGACACTTCTGTGCTGCAACTCAGAGTTACAGCAATTAAATCGCTTACCAGAATCCTGACAATCCTGGGAAAGGACTTAAACCAAGACACATATCCCTTCAGGGAAAGGGAGAATGCTTTGAGCTGCAGGTCCTCTGCTGAGGTCTTGTCCAGGATGGAGAAGGAGGCCAGGCAGGTGGCCAGGAATGCCGGTGTGGTCACGGCGTAGGGCAGGAGCAGCCCGTCCCTCAGCAGGAGAGGCAACATGCTGGGAGCAGGATCATCCCAGCGTGAGGGCACAGATCCAGAGGTGTTCCAAAGAATGAGAAGAGGAAAACCAATAAATACATTTATCCTTACAGGAACTGGGGAAGAACATGGTGTTCAGAGAATCATAGAATGGTTTGGGTTGGGAGGGACCTTAAAGCTCATCTCGTTCCACTCACCTGCCACAGGCAGGGACACCTTCCACTATCCCAAGCTGCTTCAACCTGGCCTTGGACACTTCTCTAGGCAACCCATGCCAGGGCCTAACCACCCTCATAGGGAAGAATTTCTCCCCAGTATCCCATCTAACCCAAGTGGGAAGCCATTCCCCCTTGTCCTGACCCTCCATCCCTTGTCCAAACTCCCTCTCCAACCATGTTAATAGTTTCCAACTCACCTGAAAGTTGACACGAGTAAAAACCACGTGGCCATAAAGGGGATTTCATTTATGATTAAGCAAACTGGACTAGAACGAAAAGAGGAAAAACAGGGATCAGATCTTCCCTTGTCAAACACCCCTTCCAGGTCCATGTGGGACATGCACATGGAACAGCAGCACCAGTGACTGTCCCCTCAGCCAGAGTGACACAGGACAGACCAGCCAGGCTGTACTTGACACCTTCATTTCCAGGTTATTCAGAAAAGCAAATGTGCAGAGTGTTTAAAATTCAACATATTTGTAGGTTAAAGAGCAGCATGCAATAAGAGCTCGAGGAAAAGATCAAAATATATCCCCAGGAATATAATTTACTTACACTGCCACCAGAAGAATGGATTTTTCGTGGACTTGAAAGGAGAACAGGAAAAATGACAGGGCACAACTAACCTTAGGAAAGGAGATCAGAGCTGGATTAGTGTGTGTGACTGCAATGCAAAGCTCTGCTTTAGTGTCTCTGGCACAGACTCCACATGGAGGCAGGAGCTCAATGATCTGAGTTTTCTAATTAACTGCTATATTTCCTCCAGTGCCACTTACAGGCACCAGAGCAGCTCCTGGAACCACCCACACGTGGGTGAAAACACTTGGTTTGAAAGTTGACCAGGATTAGTCAGAAAGCACTTCCTACAGAGCCCTCACTCCTGCTCAGCTTCACCAAGAACATCTCCACCAAGGAAACACAATGTTCACCCATAGAGGCACTGGAAAACCTCAGTCATGGTAAGAATTGCCCACCCTTTCGACATAAAATTTTGCTCCTCATCATGAACAGTTAATACACCGGAGTAAATAAACTGGTTTGGATTTGTTTTTGCTCCCACCAAATACAAAACACACTGAAAACATCAACTAAATCTTAGAAAGTGTGACTTCTAGGCAGTGTTGTGATATACTCTCAAACATCACTCACATAAATCAAAACCAGAAATTATCTTGTACCTCTCGAAACTTTAGCACCAGTGCTCCATATAATTTTTGATTTTTGCATAAGTCATGGCAATGTGCTTCAATTCAGTGGTATGACTAAGGAAAGGCAAACATTTGGGATAATAGGATCATTTTATTTTCAAACCACTAATAAGCTCACAGTGTCCATTTGGGGACTTTTTAATTGAATTTTGCAGCTGATGCAATAAGAAAAACTAACACTTTGGTAGCTAAACAAAAAGAAGAGAAATCCCAACTCTGTATGAGGCTTTAATGTGTATGGAATCTTCTGAAGGCTCTTCGGAGGAAGATGATAAAATACAACATTAAACAAAGAAAATTGAGGCTAAAGTAAAAAGTCTGGGTTTAAAAGACAGGTCAGACCCCCTGGACACATGAAAGTAAAGCCCTTTTTAACCAATTCCTTCAGCATTTCATGGCACACACCCCTCTGTGCTCTGCAGCAACTGCTGTTGGAGTGCTGGTCACACCCCAGTGCTGAGGGGTGGATGAAAACAAGGAGCAATTACAAACAAACACTTACCAAAGCAAATTTAAACCCTCTGAGGGAAGGCTGGACAGTGAGTTTGATACAGGCAGGAAGCAGGCTCAGGAATGTCACAGCAAAACTGGAGAGTTTTGTGAGAAAAACAGTTTAAATACATGAGCAACTACATCCATTAGTACTTCACTCTGCAGGCCTAGACCTGAATTCTTCACTTAGTTGAGAAACAGACCTGTGAGCTCTGACTTCTAAGAGCACTCAAAGGGGTAATTCTTTGAATTTGCAAATTTTAACTGTTTTTACCAGGCAGCTTAAATCACTATATGGACAAGCAGGGAATTTTTCAGTTCCTAACAGCACTTGGGGAAACCCTCATCACTCGGGAGAAAAGTACAGCATAGGAAAGAAAATGTATTTTCAATATTTTAAACACAACTTCTCATAGTTCTTTGAGAAAATTCACTCCTTTTGCAAAAAATAACGCAGATAAAAACTACCTAAAGCACTTAAGTTATGTCTTACCTGAGTTTGAGCTGAGTTTGAGGTGATACTACATTCTTTATCTTTATAAGGACACTTAGACTGCACCAAATATTGGCTACTTTATCCTGGAAGAAAATAAAAAGGTAATTAGTGATAATTATATTCATTTAAACTTATGTTTGTGACAACAGTGGGGCTTGGGAGGTGGGGATTGTTGGGTTTCTACTATGAGAGTGCAAAAAACACTTGCAGATGTACATCATATTCTTAGATGTACTTGAGCTTATTCTGAATGGAAGTTTCAAGAGACTCGATTAAAACATGCTCTAAAATAACTGAGAAATTGTTCTCCAGCACAAGGGACAACTCTTAACTCATGAGGCCACATATTCTGTGAGAATATGGCTCTGACACCGTGTCCCTGAGCAAACAAACACTGGCACATGGGAGTCCCTTTCCAGGAGGACCCCGTGCTGGCCCATCCCATTCATGCCTGGCTGTAGCTGTGCTCAGTGCCCGCCAGCACTGACAGAGTTAACCCCTAATAAATCAAGGAGTCTAAAGACATTAGCAGTTGTGCTAGGATCACTTTCCAAATTAAATCTGTAAGCACAGCTCGTGAAACTCATCCCCAAGCAGCTGCTGGAGGCACAGCTGTGTGGACAGAACACCACGGAGGCACCAGCACCAACAACTGAGCCACCTCCCTCACGTGCTCGCCAGCAACACGGGATATGCCGAGGATTCCGAGGGGACACGGCTTTGGCAGCACCAGCAAACACCACTTCACAGCCAGCACCATTCTACAGCCTCAGCAAGTGTTCCTGGGCTGCAAAGGGACACAAGTCAAAGAACCTGTCACACACGCCCCGGGCTGAGTTACTGGGCAGTGCTTACGTGGACAATTTCTCATTTTATCCGCATTAGCATCCAGCAAGTCACTGCCCTGAGCAGCCCAGGAAATATCTGGGCTAATATTAGACTAAAATCCTGCAGCTCTTTTGGACTCATTGGTTATTGTCATTTACAGATTGTATTTTTAAACTTGGTACTGAATAAAAAGTGTGGTGACCCACACTATTTCTTCATAAATTCCAAATAATCTCCAAGAAAAAGGGTCATTTTTGGGGGGGAGGGGGTGTCTGTGTGAGGAGGGGTCTTTTTTTGGAGAGGTTGTTTGGTGTTTGTTTGTTGGGATTTTTAAATAAACTAGCAGAGAGCACATTAAGAACACTTCTGTACTGCTGCCTTTGGTACATCAACATTAACTTCTGAAGAAAAACATGCCAGCTGTGATATTATCTACATCTGAGAAAGACTGGAAGAATAATAAACATTAATTAAACTACATAAGTATTTGCTTTAATCCCTGTGACAACACAACCTGAAATTCAAAGCTTCATTTTATTGGTTAAGCTTGAAGGTGAGAATCTGCTGTATAAGAGGGTAATACTGACTCGTGCCCTAATTAAGCAAAAGAGCAGCAACAACTCCCTGTGAACTGGGAAATGGGAACCCTTTCTTTCATCCCAAAACTCCTGTGGCATTGCCACTAGATAAGGGAGGAACTGCTTTACTGGATTAAGGCTGCAGTAGTACTCAGCACTTGCCAGCATGCAACTGTCCATAGCCTTAGGAAAAGCAGAACTGGCCTAAAACTTTTGGAAAACATTGTGGAAATTGGCACAA